TGGTTTCTTCTACAAAAGAACGCTGAAGTATCTTGCTGGATGTTGGAAGGACTAAACGGGATGAGTACATCAGTACTTTGGGAACTAGGAGGTGAATTACTGTGGTCACTTCGAAGATTAGACACACCTGTGTATACGATAGTTAACCTGGAGCCGTGACAACAATTTTGTTTTGTAGTCACACAGAAAAACAAATATAGTCTAGGACTATATGATCATTGACGTCGCCGTTAAGTCGTCGGCAATATTCGGAAATGCTCGGGTGCCTTTAGCTGTCGTCGGCGCCCCATTCGGATGTCGTCTGGTGAGTTACATCCGTGTTCCAGTTTCAATTTGCAGGAAACCGATTGCGTCGGCGGCCTTGTTTCCGCTCTTATTGCATTTAGTTTCTGAGCTTCTTCTGATTGGTCTAATGTTATTTCGGGACCATCATTAGAAAACACCTAGATAGTTGTGGTCACATGAGAAAACCAACAGATAACTTGTGGTCACACTTTTCTGGTACATTGTTGTAGGATTTTGATGAGGCAAGAGTAAATCAGTTACACCAAGTCCTGGCGTGTGTGTATTAGTTTGTATGTTTATGTGTGTTTGTGCGTTTGTATGTGGGTATGTGTGTATCTGTCTGTGAAAATAATAATAAAATTGATTAGTCCTCTCACAAAAAACACAAGCGTAAAAAATGCTGTCTGATCGATAATGGCGTTGTGAGAAGGATTAAGAACATTCCCACATGGAGGTTACTTTTGATTCCTACACTAGGCATGGTTTGTCTTGCAAGCAATTAATTTCACAGAGAATTAAATCATGTTAGGCGAAAATGTCTTTAGGAACAATGAGTATTTTGTTAGTAATAGTCTGTCTTTTTTGAAGATGGAGTCAAACGACATGAAATGAAAGTGTTGCCCGCTTGTAAGCAGTTAGTGATTGTAATCGATAGATATTATATCGAGTATCGACTGAATGTTGGTTACGCTTATAAAATAAATAGACGAATTCATTTTCACACACGTTTCATATGAATCATTATCGACTCATTGTTCGTCCAACTGCTGGGCACAGGTTCATTAGAATTATTATTATTTTTTAATTTATACGTTACATATACTAAATTTGACTGTATGTGTATAAAAAAATTAAATAAGATACATATTTTAAAGTTTTCATTTGAATTTAATATACATAACCAAATCCGCCTGTCGTTAGTTAGTTTGGGTGTAATTTGTGGTTATCAATGTGTATCCATGGCACCCGCGACACGGGGTTTCCCTAGTGCGGGGCTCTGTTGAGTGTGTGCGTTATTATTATTGTTATTAAAATGCGTATGACTAAATTTATTTTGATACTAATAGAATAGACCCACTGTCAAAATAAGAATACAATAACGTAATTAGTGATCATTAGAACGTCGTAACATTCACAATTGAATTATTTTTAGCAAAATTTTACCTTATTTCACAATCTATCGATAAAAGTGTCAACAAGAACTACATGACTATGTAAAATTTTACGAAAACTGGCAACCTTGCAAATGTCATTTCACCCCATTCTTAAAAAAAAAAAAACAGCTATAGAAATTGTACTTGGTACTTGGTGCAACGGGCTGGTATCCGCAACTCGACGACAAAGCGCCTATTTTGCGTGATAGAAATTGTAATTGTTGAAGTTATAATATTAAACTTTAAAAATTATTTTACAATATAATTTTTTTTTTTTCGTTAACAATCTCGGAAATAGAAGACGCAATTGCACATACAAATACGTTTTTTTTTCCTATATCTATGGTGTAAGCAAATGTGATCCTACTTAGAATTTGCTCGATTTATAGTGTAATTACATATTAGAACATTTCTTTTTTGCAAATGCTAGCTAAAACTTATGGTAAGTAAACACTGCCTCTCTCACTAAACTTAATTTTAATGTAACCAAACAAGTTGTAGCATTGTAAAAACTAAACAGTAGCTAGAAATTCTTACACATCGTTGTAAATATTTACAAGTTTGTAGCATTTTAAATAAAACATACAAACCCCCGCTTGTCTCTCAATTGGGTAGGCAGAGACTACGGACCAGTTAATTAGATATTTCAGAAATCTCAGGGTGTGCTGGGTTCTAAGGTCCGTGATACTATAAATATGTGAAGAATGTATTCTTAAAGATCAATAAGACACTAACGCGTTGTGGCTACAAAAGCAGTTGAAAAAAGGACTAGAGGAGTTCCAGGTACAGTTGGGGTCTAGATAATAAATTGTTATATATCTGAAATGAAACTTTTTAACCGACTTCAAAAAAGTAACATGTAGGTAGTTCTCAATTCATGTCTAGATGTTAGCTAAAAAAAACTTAATTGATGAGTTAATTGACATTGTACAGTTAAATCGCTGAAGAAACCAAAAAGGCATGTCTAGCGTGTAGCGGATGTAAGTCATAGTCTTTGCCAAAAGTCGGATTTAAAGTTGTCTGACTTGTCGTGTCGTGATGCGTCAGAACGGTATTGGTTTAATATACACAACACAAACCGTCACGTCAGATTGCGCCACTAACATAAATCTAATCATATTAAATATATGAAACCGATATCGTTCTGACGCGTCATGACACAGACAAATGTAAATCCGGCTTTACCCAGAGGGAGATAAGAGGTTACAATACAGATGTAGTGAATAAACATTCAACATAATATTTTCGAGCGTTGTTGCCGCGTCTATAAGTGGTCACGTTTATGAAATATAATAAAAATAATTTAGCAGCAGAGCTCCTTGTGGAAGAGTTCATCTAGGGAAGTACTACCACAACAACACCTATTTTTGTCGCCTGTGAGAAATAAGTTTAAGGAAATTAACATTCTACACTAGTGTCACAGTACATTTATGAAAATGTAATTTATGTTAAGACGAATAGTAATTTATTTATGATAGTGACAGGATTAGTGATTGGTTTGCTGTTAATAACCTACTTCTTAATGAGAAAAAAACAAATTGTGTGAAATTTACATTACCCAATGTTAGAGAGACGGTTACAAACATTGTAGTTAGAAACGAAAAATTGAATCTTGTGGATACAGTTGTATTTCTAGGTATAACGTTAGATGCTAAATTGCAATGGGGTCCCCTTATAACTAAGTTATCAAAACGGTTCGGCTCTGCAGTGTACGCGATTAAAAAAATAAGGAAACTTTCAGACGTCGAAACCGCTAGATTGGTTTACTTCAGCTACTTTCACAGTCTAATGACATACGGCATTTTGCTTTGGGGTAATGCCGCCGATATCAATAGAATCTTTGTCCTGCAGAAACATGCAGTTAGGGCAATTTACAATCTGGGCCCCAAAGTATCTTTGAGAGATAAGTTTAAGGAAATTAACATTCTTACACTAGCTTCACAGTACATTTATGAAAATGTAATTTATGTTAAAAGGAATAGTAATTTATTTATGAAAAATAGTGACAGACATAACATTAATACGAGGAATAGAAATAAACTAGCTGTTCTTGATAGTCGTGTTCACAAAGTCATAAATTCATGTATACGCTTCTATAACAAGATTCCGGTTGATATACAATATTTGCCATTCACGAGGTTTAAAGCTATAGTGAAACAAAAACTTTCTACTAAAGGTTAATTTACAAATTCTGCGTACTTGGATGACAAAAATCCGTAGTAGTAACCCGTTTAGTTCATCGAGTCTCGATTTCCGATTTTTGAAAGCAAAAAAATATATTGTAAATGTTGAATGTGTACAAATGTTATTTACAAAGAGCAACCCCTAGAGTGTCTTGCTAATTCTTCTCAGGGGAATCAGCCTTACGAATGAGCGGTCGACGAATGTGACTATATCAGGTGTAAATAATTCTTACCTATGAAATAAAGATTATTATGATTTTGATAACTGGGTTCTAGTTTGAAGGATTCTGGTGAAACAACAGGTACATGGGACTTGTCACATTTATGTCTCAGGATACTCTTAACAGAATGTCAAACGTATAAAACAACGTGTGGAGCAGGTACACCTAACGTTCTCTTAATGCCTATTCAGTATAATGACGCGTTCAGGGTTCTTGAGGTTGCCGCGTCACTGTAGCGCGTCCGGGATGTTCGCGTACGCGACTGTTGATGGTTTCTGTGCGACGTTGCGTAAGCGCTGCGCAACATCAATGCGCATATTGCGTGCCAGCCGCCACAAAGTACTGAACGTTGTGGCTAACACATGGGACAATGGTCTCTGAAGGCACTAGTCCTCTCTACATTTAAGTTTACGTACTAACATAATTATTCAAGTTTTATAATACTAACATAGTTATATAAGTTTTGTATTACTAACATTCTATGGATCTTTGTGCTATCTGAAATAAATTCATATTATTTTATTTTATTTTTATTTTTAAAAACCTGCCATTGACACTCTATCGACATACAATTAAGATGATTTAAAATTAACGGACCTTAAAACCTCGTCTCAAACTTTTTTTCTAACTTAACTCTTTCACAAGTGGTTCTATAGTAAAAGTAAGGAATTCCCTGTGCTATGAGTACCAGAGCAAAGGAATTCACCCCGGGACACTAACCAGAACACCCAGACCGGAAACCAATTTCGAATAGTTCTTTTCCCAAATTGGTTCGACCGAGAATTGAAAGTGTGACTCCCCATCCAGCGCCCACAGTGTAAACCGTTAGGCCACCGAGCTTGTCAAACTGCATTGCAACAACTATATTATAAATGTGTTTTTTCGATGTTAAATGTATATTCGCTATATCTGCATGTAAAAAATTAGACAGGAAAAAACATTTTAAAAGTGAGACCCAAATACGTGCTAGTGTTTATAAAAGCGCTTAAATATTCTCTTATAATCGTCAATGATATCCAACTCGACGGTTTCATGGCTTCCACACTGCAAAGAACACAATATAATAACGAGTTCTAACTACAAAATGGTGAATATTACTCAAGAAAAATAGATAAGTTCCTGGGAAGAATAAGTGAGTCAGAACATTTCGCACCCCTCATGGAAGAACGGTTAAAAATGTTTACTGCTCCATTAGATACAAAAAAATATAACCCACATCCTCTCCACTAATATTGTAGATAGAGTTACAAGAATTGGAGAGCATGTGGGTTATATTTTTCAATATCAAATGGAGCAATAAACATGTTTGACGTAACTCCACTTAAGCCATTCTTCCTTGAGGCGTGCGGTTTAGCGACACGATCGCTTCAAACTGGTCAAAAAAAGGCTTCAAATCCACAACTGATTTAAAAATTTACACTAAGAGCCATTAGCGAGCACACGGCGTATTTTACATGTACCGACGACATTCGTTATCTGCGTGTATACGCACCGCAGCCGCGCTGTAGCGTAGTATTGCAAACAAGAAGCTTATATACTCCACTGGAGTTTACACTAACAATGGGACCGAGTTGTAATTTTTCAACTGGTGTTACTCGAGTTGAAGCTCGAGTTAACTGGAGTCGGTGTCTGACAGAACAACCGCGAGTCGCGAGTAGAACTCGAACCGACCATTCACCGAGTTGGACATGATCGGTTGGCCGACATCGACTCGAGCGTGTTCCGAACATCAGTCGCCGAACAGACCGAACAGCCGACGCGCTGTATGAATGAAGAATTGGACTCGACGGAAACCGCGCCGAACTAGCTCGAGTTCACAAAAAGCTCGTCGTGTGAGTAACTCGAGTTAAGTAACTCGACTCGCCCTTCGCTCGCGACTCGAACGTTCTCCGAAAGCATCGAGTATATATATATATATCGAGTATATATATAGTATATATACATAGTAACCAGAAATACAGACGAAATGTCATTTAATTTGTTTGAAAACTAATCTGCCATATCATTACCGTGACAACTGCGCTCCGATTGGCTAGCCCGAGTTCGAAACAACTGACGGGTGTCGTCAATGGGTGTCGTCAACTGTTTCACTTCAAATCGACCAGTTAACTTGAGCTTTGCTATAATGGACGGAAATTGCAAAATATTTAATATTTAATTACGATGAAATGTGATCCTGTACGTTTTGTAATTTTTGTTGGAAGTTTTGCTGTTTTTCCTCACTCCAACGAATGGAAAAGCACGCCATTGTTAGAGACATTATCTTTATTACAATAAATACAGAATATTTTTTTAAATATACGGAGACGTACACACAGGTCAGTAGTTGGCCTGTCTATATTTCAGTGCAAACGAGAGTTGATATTTATAATATCGCTAATGTGTTACCAGGAATATATGGCCCTTATTTCGTCTCTATTTCTGGTTATATACTCGATGTCCGAAGGTCACCGAACCGACCGATTAAGAACGAGCAGCCGTTGCGCATTGTACTGTATGAATGAAGTATTTGGCTCGGCGGGGCGGGTATATACCGAACTGAGTTAGCTTGAGTTCATAAAAAAGTAACGCGAGTTGACTCGCTGTGGGAGTAAGTCGAGTTAAATGACTCGACTCGCCCATCGCTAGTTTACACTTAGAATTTCATGTAGTTGCCTCATTTAAAAAATTAATTGAAATTCACAAACAAAACTAATATTAAAACTATCTCTTATTAAAATGCGCGATACTTAAATTACGCGCGACTACAGAGCGTCTGCGGCGCGTATAGGTATGTATTTGTCTTCTACTGTTTTTTTTTCTGTATTTTGTTCACATAGGCAACACAGAGTGATTATATGGTGTTTCATATCGTAATTCATTCCCAATTTAAAACGAAAATTTTCGAGAATAAAATTATTTAAGTACTCACTTTTGATATTTTTCGTTCTCTTCCCGAAGTTTTTCAATATCAGCCTTCAGCTTTGAGATGTGCTCCGAATAGAACTTCTTTTCAGCCACCAACTCTTCTTGAAGTTGTCTGGAAGATGTTGTATAATTAAAATAAAATTGTGAAGTTAAGGTATGAGGTATGAGTATGCGCTATGCTGTTACAGAATCCGCCATCCATTCCGCTCTTTGTCGTCTGACTGAAAGTGCCATGAGGCTGATTTTCAATAAATCCGGTAAACTCTTAAATATTACAATAAGTCTTAGTTACTATATTGCAATAAATAGTTAAATATTGCAGAGGTCGGGAAGTAAAAGGTTACAGGACAAGTATGAGATATAAATGTTTATTATACGAGTCAGAAAATCCCCCTTCCCGCCGAAACTTTTCTCGCGTAATGCGACTAAAGAATGAAGCAGGATGTATAACAGAAAAAGTAATCAATTTTCATGGATTTTCAGCTGGAAACTATTTTTCCTTGACAAATTTTGCTTCTTGTTTTAAATCCCATTATTGTGTTTTCGTTCTTTTACAATTTTTTTTTGCTTGTTAAGCAACATACCTGTTAATGCCCTTCTGAGCCTCGTAGGCAGTTGCCAGCTCGCCGTCTTCGTTGATAATATCCACGTCAGACCCGTAGTTGGATGACGCCAAAGACTTGAGGTTCACATTCTGCACAGATACAATATTTGTTAAGCTATTTTCAAAATTCAGCCTACTGTACAAGTTCAAGCTTTAAAATTATGATTATGATAATATCTTGCAGGAAACTACGCTGCCGAATTAGGGCGCGTTCCCATTGCCTATTATGTCGTAACGTTTTATCTATCGAAGGACGACTGTTGCGTCTAGCCTGTTCCCATATCACGACTATCTGTAGTGACTGTGTCGTGGACGCTTATTTAGTCATTGAATAGTTCCCATTAGAACGTGACGACAATTTATCGGTTCAAGGCAGTCGCCTTGTCGTTTGCACGACTGAATAGTTTGAAGCTGCAATTATCTGTCGTTACATTTTTATTTACCGTCGGACGGTCGTTCTAGCTCTTCCCATTGTCACGTCAGTCTGTCGTCGTAACGTCAAAAAAGTCGTGAACGAGAGTTACTCGTGTTTTACTATATGTGAACAACTTCATATAAATATACAAGCCACGATACTTTAAACTGCACGACTATCTGTCAAACATAGTGGGAACGCGCCCTTAAGCGGGCTTTTTATTAATTAAAAAACATTTCTCATTTACAACACAAAAATACATTTGTTTTCCATTTTTTACAATAGGCCAAAATAACATGAGAAATTTACAAGCGAACTCCAGCTAGGTTTGTCCTTAGCACGAATTAATATTGCTACAAAGATCAAACAAATACAAAGAAAAATTTCTTAGATCTAACTGGACTCTAACCAGTGTCTGTTGACTCCTTGGCTTTTATCGCTGTAAGCGACACCTGTTAGAGACTTGTGAACAAGTGATCGGAATTTTTTAGGGAGTTAATTTAACTAAACTAAAGAATAATGTGGACATTCCTTTCTACAAATCCCGGGACATCTCGGAACTGATTATATTTGAATATGCGTGTTATTTATTGAAATTTAAGTGCATTGGCGACAAATTATTATTTCCTATTAAATATTCGCTACAAATTATTGTCTCAAAAAGCAATATTATAGTTGCATTTCTATAGATATTTACGTATTTAAATATTTTAGCCATTTGAAAATAAACAAATGCTTAGAAAATATACCGAAACCTCTCACGTAAGGAATTAACTTACTGTTATGTTTACTTTCAAACACGGAACTTATAATATACCTAAAAACGATATATCGACAGTGAACTGGCAATCGGTACTATCTTAATTTTGACAACTTTACAGGATGAAGAAAAAAATGTTTGCGTCATTTATATGTACAAGCATCTGAATTATTAAATAAAAATACGTAGTTCTTAAATATTTTTATTACACATACACTACGTATTTGTACTTAATAAACCAGATGCTTTGTACAGCATTTATAAACGACGCAAACAATTTTTTTTAAGTTTTCAAAATTGAGATAGTACCGGTTGCCAGTTCACAGTCGATATCTAAATTAAAAAGCAAAAAAATGGTATTATGACTTGCAACTTACGTCGGAGGTATCGAAACAGCCCCATATCTTTCTACATTAGTTTCATTATAGTGAACCTATCTACCAACCCTTAAGGTATACGACAAGGGCACTATATCCTGTGCGCATACAGGAACTTTATGAGTTCAGGTTCTGACCCCAGATCAGCCAGTGTACAGGGTTGTCACAGACCTCTTTCACTTATATAGATTTTAAGACTTTCGTGGTTATTCACTAAATGATTGACTGACCAACCCGTGACCATGGAGCGTGCAACCGTTCCGAAATATCGGGAAAATAAAAAGAAGTTATACCGTGGTAAGAAACCTGTTACTAGTGATAATCACTCTTTCACTTACTTCATCCGGTTCTTCGAGAGGCTAGTGCCTCTGGTGAGCCCCCGGGTGCACGTACAGTACCCTCCCTATTTGACAGATAGGTATCCGAGCTGTAGGCACACTCACTTCCCGCTGCGCATTGCACAGCTAGCGGTTGCCACCGCATAGAAACAGTAAATAAAAATTTTATATACATTGATGACGAAATGGGTATGTCCGTACTAAGAAAACGTTCATATTTTAGGTAAATTAACTCCTCAATTCCGATTACTGTTGTTCAGCTCTGTAGCTCAAATGGTAGAGCGGTGGTCCTAGTTTGGCATACATGAGCAGGTTCGTGTCCTGTCAAATAGAAGGAATTTTTGTTTGTGTTCGATCTTTGTATTGATAATTATCATTCAATAAAAAAATTAATATAATATATCCCTTGTTTTTAAAGAACAGTCTGGATGCTACCCAGACGATGAAAATAAATATTAATTGACATGGAAACGTCAAATATTGAAATTTGTTAATAAAATTAGATATGAGCGCCAGTAATAAATAAATAGATCAACCGGCGGCGGCGCGCCGACGAACAAGTGTCGGCGGCGGCGGCGTTTCAGCGGCGCGAGCGCAACCATGAAACGAATTTGCATAACGGTGTTCGTTTTTACAAAAACCGTTAAAGAAATACTTTTTCAAAGGAAAAAATAAAATAACATATTTCTATAATAATCAAATATTTATCAGTTCGATCTGGTGCTCTGATCGTACGCACGCGCACGCTTCCGTATTGAACATAGCAATGCCAGAAATTGACAAATTAGTGTTTTAAACAAAACATGTCCTTCTTCGAATATAAAGTCACTAAGTTCTTTCTTAGAAATGCCAATTTCTGGCCAATTTCTGGCCTGATCGAAAGAACTGAAGGGCACGCCGATTGCATTTGGCGGCAGCGGCGGCGGCGGCGCGCCGATGCGGCGCTCATATCTAAATGAAATATAGCTTTTCTGTGCTTCTCTTTAACTAACTAGCTCTGGTCTACTATAATTAAATAAGCTGAAATCTTAAAAACAATATTAAGTAATAACAACGAATAAGTACCATGCAATGTCCGCAACAGAAAGCATGGAGAATTAAAGATAAATTATTTTAAAATAAAAAAATAAAAAACTTTTTCGGTTAACATGCTACATTTGGACACACGAGATGGTGGCATAAGTTCTTTTGGCATAAATACAATTTTTGACTCAATAATGTTTACTTTCTTTTGACATCAATAGGATATTTGACACAACAATATTTATTATCTTTTGACATAAATACGTTTATTTGACTCAACAATGTTGGATGATTCAGTCAATACACTGAAATTAAATCTAAAATATTTTTTTATATCCCAACGAATACTATAGATATAAATGTTTAAATGGTAGGGGGACGCTTAGTCCCTTTTTGGCAGAAACAATCAATAGCATATAGCCTGCATGGCGTTTTAAAAAAAATGAACTAATGGCATCTCTTTCGAACTCCTAATTTCAGAGTACTTGTAATTAATTTATTTTAGAATGAATTAAACTCCAGTTCCATTTAATCCGACACCTATCAATTGCGTTGTCCCGATACGACTCACAGGTGCGCACAGGCTTCTACAAACGTGATGATTTAGGTCATTACACATCACTTCTTCATACGTGAAGAAAAGGCTCTCGCAAAACTTGTACACTCCCCAACTCGCATTAAAAATGCGACGTCAGAGAAGACCAATGACCAGCAGTGTATAACCAGAAATAGAAACGAAATAAGGACCATCCATCCCTGGCAACTCTTCAGGCAAATGGGCCTTATATCACTGTTAAATGTCAACTCTCGTTTGCGCTGAAATCACAAATTAGAAAACTGAAATAGTACAGCGCCAACAACTGACCTGTGTGTACGTCTCCGTATATTCCAAAAATATTCTGTATTTATTGTAATAAAGATAATATCTCTAACAGTGGGGGACTATTCCATTCGATGATGTGGGAAAAACAGCAAAACATCTAATTACAAAACAAACGGAATCACATTGCATCGGTAATTAAATATTAAATATGTAATTTAAGTTAAACTGGTCGATTTGAAGTGGAACAATTGACGACACCCGCCAACTGTTTCCAATTCGGGCTGGTCAATCGGAGCGCTGTTGTCACCGTAACGATTTGGCAGTATAGTTTCAAACAAATTAAATGACATTTCGTCTCTTATTTCTGGTTTATACTCGACGACGGTTGGTGATAGTGGAAAATGGCGATGTCCAAATATAGCTAGTTAGCCTTTGAAACATGCATTAAACAAATATACAAAATAGTAATCATGATTAACAATCGTGAATGTAAGAAAGCTGTCGATGGTTTCTTTTTAGGGGCTTGTATCTTACTCACAACATTTTTGAGCACTTGGTTCCACCAAGGAGCTTGGTTCTGCATCCAAAACAATTATATAAGTAATGTATAATAATGGCAGTAAGACTTCTAGTAGTGATAGAGTTCCTTGTAAAAGAATTCGTTCAGAGACGTACTGCTAATGGTGAGGCGGTGGTAATAGTGAAGGAGGATTGGGCAGGCACACCTCCGCCGCCTCCATAACGAAACGAGGCTCTCCTACGGGCATGCTCTAACGGAAAGAGGTCCTCGAGTCTGGATGACGTGCATTGTGTTTCGGTACGTCATCAGCATGGTCTAGGTTTTAGTCGTTAAGAGTCCTACATAACCGGAAATTGCGTAAATATCTTCTAACACGGTCCTAGTTTGCAACGTGTATATATTTATTAGTCAGTATATTATGTTTATTTAGGTATATTTATTTATACATATCGATACCAGAAGTATCATTTAATGTAAGGGACAAACCGCAGTTTTTCAGGAGAGCAAAAAAACTATTTTATTTTTTTAAATCTGTCTATGATTTTTTACTGTCCGCTCCAATTTTGATTATGTCTAGAGTAAAGTTTCTTAGAATTTCCTCTTCTTTTATGCTATAAACGAAATATTTAGAAATGTCCAGCTGTTTAAAATATAGCATTTCTCTTACATTAAAAAAAGATGTTTAGTTCTGCCATACTTAATTCTATTGTAAAGGATCCTTTACAATAGAATTACGTATAATTTTCTATTTCTCTTCCGCTTACACCGTGCTCGGCGGATTACACAAAAAATATTAGTAACGTACTTAAGGCACAACTAAACGTCTGTGTTTAA